TTCTCATTTCGGCGGCTCGTCAGCGTGATAGGACGCTTGGGGACTCCGTGCAGCAGCCAGCTATCATTCCAGCATTTCCCGATGTGCGCTGTGCTCTTGGGGTCTCGTCTGGGCGTCTGCCAAAATGCAAATCACCTAACAACAGCTTCGACGTGTTTAAAGCATCAGAGCCTACCCAGAGGACATATTTGTTCAGATCACGACGCTGTCTGAGCTCGCGAGGGGTCCCTGAATGGAATGAATGTTGCAGGACAGGCTGCCCCCGGGCAAAACGTCAGAAAACGCCGCCGTCGTGGCCATGACGATGCGCCCACCGCTGAGGGGTCAGGGAATTGGCAACATTGCCATCCGGCAAGATGGGCGTGTCTGCCAAAGGCCCGCCCCAAAGGGCACGATCGGCTTTTTGTCAAGACAAGAGGGGGGAAGCCCGACTCAGCGCCATGCCCAGCCAAAGGTCTCAGAGGCTCAGAGGGGGTGCAAAGGCGTCCATATGTACCTTCGTCCGAGATGGCCCGAGAGGATCCTCGGGCAGGTCACGATGTTGCCAGCAGGATGGAAGGTCTCATCATGCCTGCGCAGATCAGGGTGTGTTTGTTTCTCGCCAGCCTGAGCACCAGCAGTGTGCATTATTATATTTTATCTCGTCCAGCGAGATATAAGTTGTTTTTGTTCCTCGCAGCAGCAAGACAGCATGACCGTTTGAGTGCTATTGGCGCCGCTGGTCAGCAAAGGTGCCCAGATGACGCAGCGTCCTATTTCCTCCGCCCCAATGAGGGCCGAGATGCTGAGACAGGCCACGCCCACCGTGGTGAGCCTCGCTGCTCGGGCTTTGCCCTCGACGATCGGCGCTGCATGACATCCCTAGGTTTGCAGGCGCCACACGTGTCTCTGCTGCTGACTGTGCAAAAGGCAGCATCTGGCATTCCGCCCTCGATCCTCTTGAATGACCCTGGACCCACCTTTTGTGCCAGAAAGCATCGGGCAGGGCAGATCATCTGGTGGTGGTTGTCTTCCCCAGCCCGGAATCTTCCCCACTGCCCACCGTCCAATCACAGCAGCCGCAAAATCTCCATTGGGGAGGCGCATCTCAGATGCTGTGGATCAGATGCTGCAACTTTGTGTGGTTGACACAACCAGGCAAGAACCATGCTGTCTCACCAAGAAAAGCCTTCCAGATCTCGCAGAGGCCCAAGGGATGCGGGAGCAGTAATCCTTTGCAGCAGCCACATGATCTCAACCACCATTCACCTCCCTCGCGGCCCACCCCCCTCCCCCCCTCTTCTCATTCATCTCCCCTCAGCCAACCCCCATGCAGCGAATACCAACGGCTGAGCCCCCGCCATAAGAGCCCCATGCCTGCTACTGTATTGTGAAATGACAGCCTCCCCCCCTTCTTCCCAAGACGATGAAACATGCATGCACTTGCGCGCCCCGGCCCAGCGGTTCCGGATCCGCTGCCGGTTCGCCAACCACAGGGGCCGGGATTCAAGCATAGCTTGGCGGGGAAAAAGTGTCTCTGGCTGCGTGTTGTTTCTTATTCCACGTCCGACCCCATGTCTGTCTTTAACGACATCTCCCACACCACGCCTGCGTGATAGATGACTGCCATGAACTCTGTCCTCTGTCACTTGCGCGGGGCGACAGAGCCTGCAATTGGTGACAGGATAGCCTGTAAAACACATTCGCCATGGTCACCTGCGACGTGCACGCGCGCGTGGTCATGCTGCTGCTTGCTTGCTTGCTTTTCAGGCACTTATTATCAGCCGGAGGACCGATATCACTCTCTTCCCAACAGGAACTTTTATCTCCCAGGAGAAGAAAGTACATGATGGGCGCAGCTGATAAAGTTCATACACTCAGGGCCGCGGAGATCCCCGCTCATCAAAAGGGCCCTGCCTTGTGCCTTTTACACATCCTCCCCCCTCCCCCCCTCCCCCATGTTGATATCATCGTCGCAAAGCCCGTAGCGACATGGGGTGGAAAGCATGGCGCTCCTTTGAAACCCGACAATTGACCAACAGGATCCCCAGCCGCGGAACATTTTCACCCCATCATCATCAGCCTCAGCCCTCCTCTCACCCTGCCTCCCCAAAAGTTGGTCATATATTGCATGATGGCTGAATTTTGTTCTGCAAGTCCCCCCTTCACCGTATCCCTCATCCATGTACGTAAGTGTGTGTTGTGTTGTTACAGATTGAGCTAGCCAAGATGACAAGCCCTCCCCCCCCCCCCCCCCCCTTTTGTTAGCAAGAAGAAGATGATCAATCTATACGATCGCGCGGCATGTACCCGGGTACCGCACGCGAGACCCCAAGGGCGTCCGAATCGGGCAACTCCGCTCATCTTTTCCCGCTCGCTTGAGATCTGGCAACAGAAAGCAGACGAAAGGGGGGAGGGGGGGCTGTTAAGTTACAAGACCGACAAAACAGCAGGTGTGATGTAAAACAAAAACCTGAGAAATTAAAACAACAATTTACCATTGACACACAACGCGCGCACACATACACACACAAAAGATGCAGCGATAGTCAGGGCTCGATATCATATCATCCCGCAGCAATACACGCACTCCAGCAGAGGTGAGTAAGTACAATGACAATTGCAAAGCCATGCTCCACGCGTACCTACGTAGGTACGTACACATGGCCGGCCATAAGAGACCCTTCGCCCCACCACCAACACCACCACCACCACCAACATGATGCCATCGCGACGCCAACGCGGCTGTGCCCGGCCCCCCCATCCCCAGGTTCTCGTGCTCTCGCGTAGATCTTTTTTGTTTTAACAATCAACTAGGAGAGAAAAGTGTAAATACAAGGTTCACAGAGCTCCCTCCCGGAATATTGGCGCGTGCCTGAGTGGTTGTGCCTGTGTGCCTGCAAAGCAAGCGAGCGAGCGAGCAAGCAACCAGCTGCAGCGCACCAATCAGGCCTTGCCCCCCCCCCCGGCTCTTTTCCCACCCCAAAGCCTAAGACCTTGTCATCCGTCATACCTGCGTCAGGGAGACTAGCAATGGCATGGCATGTTGCCATCTTGCTCATTGTGAAATCCCATCATCGCGCAGCACGCACAAGAGGGAGATGGAGAGAGAGAGAGAGAGGGAGAGGGAGACAAAGAAAGATTTAGAGGAAGGGGGGGAAAGGGGATTTGGAGAAGGGGCGAAAGAGCGAGCAACCACTACCAAATGTTCCGGTGACGCGAGCCTGCGGAACGACGTTGTGTGATGGTTACCATACCCATGCCCTGCAGAGTTTTGGTTGTGTTCCGCACCCTTCCACGCGCCGGGAAAAAAGTCCACGCACGAGAGAAGGGGGGAAGGGGGGAGAACATGGGACGAAAGACCAACTGTGAAGGAGTGACTGGCATGTTTGCATATGTGTGTGCGTGTGTTTGTGTTTGTATGGATGAGTGTGCTGCTTCGTGTTGGAGTAGTTGCACACCCTCAAACCCCCCCGCATAATTTACCACGCGAACAAGGCTTGTAGATCGCCGTGTGTGCCCGCCCGCCGCGCCGCGCAGGCCGGAGCGAAGATTTGCGTTGTTCTGTCCTGCGGGCAAGGGGCTCATTTTGAGCCGCACCTTTCGACTGCACCAGAAGATTCGAACGACGCGTCCTTTGATCATAGAGCGAGCACACAGTCGCACGAAAGGACCAGAAACGTCCCTTCTGGTGGCGGCAATCGACTGTCACTCATTACCTATCCCCCTCATCTGTTTGTATGGCCTACTATTCGTCGACGGACTCCCCGATGCTGCAAGCTGCCCAGCCTCGCGCTGTTTAGGTGCCCTTTGATATCGCCTCGACATGTCGTCACCCTCCGCCCCCCTCCCCTCCTCCCCAAAACATCCTTGCAACCCAAAACTCCGAAGGAAGAAGAAGCCAGGCAAGTATCACAAAGGACATATATCCACTCACACGCAACCGCCCGACGAGACGCGCTCATCCCGGACCATTCTGGGGCAGAGCACATGCAGACTACGTCAAACGAATGTTTGTTGATGCCATCATGCCCCCCCCCCCCATTCCTCCACCGCCCTTCCCCCTTTCCCTTTTACCTGACCACGGACACTTTGGTCCAGGGGAAAGAAAAAAAAAGACACCAAAATGCCGTGAAAGGGCGGAGCAAACCCTCCCCCCTTCCAGCACACTCTAAATCCTCAGGCGCCAGACAACAACACTACCCGTCCGTCCTCTGGGTCAAGGTCACTTTTGACCGCCTCGCCGCAAGCGCAATGGATGGATGGATGGATGGATGTGGGTTTTTTTTGACGTGGCCACACAAACAGGGTACAGTTCAACACGTCAAGGAATAATGCACTTCGGAGAGAAACGCATTGTGAAGATGCCAACTTTTACTAGTCATTATAATCTGGCTGTAGAAAGTAAGAGTCTTTGAAAAAAGAATTTTTCTTTGTTTTTGTCAGGGCTTGGAGCTTTTTAATTTCGCTTTTTCCACCATTCTCTCTCTCAGCCTTTTCCCTTCCCACTGACATGTGGGATAGCATGGACCAGGTCGCCCTGGCTTCCATCCATGCCATCCTTGATTGTAACCGTGCGTTGAACAGTACTTGTACACCATCTTCCTTCCATAAGTCGTAAACCGATGACAGAATGGGTATCCGAGAGGTATAATACCTGTTCCGCAGGCGCAAAATAAAAAATTCCAAAAAAATTCCAAAAAGTGCAGACCGTGGTATCGTCAAAGTAGCAACGCCAGCTGGTGTCCCCGGGGCAAGTGGAAGCTCGCCGACCTCTGGGTCCAGACATGATGCAATGGGCGTGGATGGATTGCGAAGAACCCACACGACCTCTGAACGGGAAAATGAACAAAGAAACAACAAGACAGAAACGCCGGTGCCTTGTGCAGGATGCATAGTATCGCTAAAGTGGATGCAAATCGCCATGCAATGACAAATTGCAGAAAAAGAGAAGGAAAAGCATGGTCGTACAGAGCAGATGCGGTAATGGGTCTGCTTTGACAGGGTATCGGTACAACGCTCTACCAGCCTTGAGCGTGGTAGCCGCCCTGAGTGTCGCGGTTGAAATACTGGTTCCAGCTCGTCGAAGGCTCGTCAGCCGCCTTGTTCATGTGTACCTTCTCCGGGTACTGCTTCAGGTTGGCAACATCGTGCGAGGTGTGTCGCCTCTTGAGCACAGCATTCGCAGTCGAGGTCTTCTGCTGTCTCTCCCACAGGAGCTGGCGGCGAAGGGACTCCGTGAGCTCAGTCGCCAGCATGTTGCGGCGTGTGGTGCGAGGAGAGAGGGCGGCCTGGTGGCGAATGGGTTGCGCATGGGCCGTGATGGGCTGTGCAGTGGATCGTGGGATCTCGTTGATGGGCTTCAGCTGAGGCGGGCGCATGCCCTTCTTCATCTGGAGACCTTCGTCCGAGTCGTTGGGGGAGTTAGCCATGGTCGACATGTTCTGCATGGTCCGCGAGCGCTGGGGTATCGCAGGTGTCGACTGGGACGCATGGCTGCTGAGTGCCTTTGTGCGTTGATCCTGTCCCGCGAACATGAGGCTGATGAGGGATCGCTGAGACGTCAAGTTGGACTTGGAAGGTACACGCTTGAATGTCACCTGGTCGTCCAGGCTAGACTTGCCACTCTCCTCGATCGAGTCCTCCCACTCCGAGTCCGAGTCGTCATCGTCGATGGCGCTCTCATCATAGTCATCCGATTGGTCACTGATGGCCTGCTGGCTGGCACGATGGGTCGCAACAATGTTGGCAAAGGAGGCGGTCTTCTTCTGGGCACCCAGGTGAGGGCGCGCCAAGGCGCTCTTGAGAGATGGGCTCTGTCCGTCGGATGAGGATCCACGCGGCGCAGGGGCACTGGTCTTGGGAGCCGGCATGTCGTAGTCGTTTTCCATGCTCTGTGGTGACGAGTCAGAGTCCGTGCCGATGAAGAAACCGGCCTTCTTGCCCTTCTGCTGGACATGCTTCGCAGGCGGCTGGGCATCAGGTGCTGGGATGACCTCGGGCTGAGAAACCTTGGGCTCCGTGGGTTGAGGTGCACTTCTAACTGGTAACGAAGCCGGGAAGAAGCCGCGCACGGTAGTCTTCGCAGGCGTACCGACGGTCTCGCTCACTGGCGACGATGTCGATTGTGATTGCGGCATGACGTCAGAAGCAGTGTTCTGGGAGTCGGAAGCCGACGATGGCTGCCGCTGCAGAGGTGAAGCAGGCCGGGGTGGGGGGCTGTCGACAACGACCTTGGGAGTCGGGATCGAGGCCTGGACATGTTGCGGGAGAGGCGCAAGTTTGTTCTCCTTGCCGTTGACAATGTGGACAACCATCTGCTCGAGACGGTCGGACGTAATGTGAGGCTCACGGCCCCGGCTCCTGTTGCTTGAGCAAGAGTCTTGCCGGACGACGTGTGGGCGGATGTGCAGATGAGGCTCGGCCTCGTCGACCAGGTCCTCAATGGCGTCTTCGCTGTTTGACGACTCGAGGCTGGCGGACAATGGAGGCATGTCGGTGATCTTGGAGAGTGGGCTATGCCTGGCGATCGACATGGGAGACGACTCGGCCTTTGAGGTCTCGCAGCAGAAGGTCTCCCTATTCCACAGCCGCCAGCTGAGGTTCTCTAACCTCCGGCCCTGCTCTACGGAGTCGGCACATCTGGAGAAGACTATATGGGAGGACAGTCAGTATATTGCGGACACCCCGCGGAGGTGTTGCTTCGACGTACCGGTCCACATGCTGAAGAGGTTCTCGGCATTGTTGGTGTCAACCTTGTGGATAAGATTGGGGTCCACGGTGAGGACGAGGCCCTCTGCTTTACAAGGCATCTTGGGCTTGTTGGAGGTACGAGTATACTGATCAATATGGCTTTGCTGGGTGGTGACTCGGATGTATATACTGGAGAGGTTGAATAGTCCGAAAGATTCTTCAGAGAAGCGCGGCACCGGACGAGCTGGGGATTGAGGCAAGTAAAGAGTCGAGCGTGCTGCTGAGGTCGAGTAAACGAACTGCGGCGTGGTGGTGGCCAATGTCGCTCAAGCAAGGTGGATCCGGCTGGTGGTGACTGAGGCGCACTGCTGCGGAGGTGCGCTCTAGACGTTGCAGAGGGTGGCGGAGAGGAAGAGTGCCTGGGGTCGTCGAAGCCGACTGTGGTGGACTGTGGGTGCTGAAGGCGAAGAGGGCGACGATGTCGTGAAGGCCGACAACAAAGGACGGCGATGGTGGCGACAATGAGGTGGACGTCTGGGCTGTAGGGAGAGAACGGAGTAGTGGGTGATGGCGATGTGAAGGGGCGGCGTACGAGATAAGTAATGGCGTGGGACGGCGGCGTGTCTTTGAGAGCGGGCGCAGGAGGTGGGCCAGTTGCTGTACCTGGCGGGTCTGCGCCGACAGGTACCGAGACGGGCGAGGGCGCCGGGAACGGGGCCAGAAGGGCGCTCGGGCAGAGGTCGCTGGGCGCGTGATTTAGGCGGGCTGTGGGCGCGGGGGGGTACTGCGCAACCACGTAGCTCAGACACGCACGGGGGAGGCCACATGGGCCCAGGTACTTCGGCGCAATTCCCTCGACTTGGGCCCGGGAGGTCTGGGGGAGGGGGGTGTGATAAGGGTGTGAGCTGCGAGAGTGTGTCTTCGATGCGAGGGGGGGTGAGGGTGTGGAGGAGTCAAGTGTGGATGGGAAGGGGGGTCTCAAGGGGCATGGGGTGGGCGGCGTCCCCCTGCGCCATGGTACGTACCATTCTGGGACCCGTCGGGACTGGGTCATTTGACAGCGGTCTGAGGCCTTTGCGGCGAAGCAGCCCGTGTGGTGCCAAAAAGCAGTACCCAATTCAGCTAGCCGAAAGTTCTAGTGTCGCGCTTGCACCGAAGAGAGCAGCGATTTCTTAAAAGAGCAATACCAGCCGGATCATTGGTGTTCCTGACTTTCTGCGACTGACTCTGTACGTGCTCCCACTGCTCGCGTGCTAGCGCCGGCGCTCTGGCGCTGGTCCGATTCTCACCACGGCAATGCCATCCATCCCGGTGTGCTCTCCCCACCTGGACACTACGCCTGAATCGTGTCCTTGGCCGCAAATGACATTGCCTAGCGCTGGGCGAGGATGGGTGCAGAGCAGGTTCGGTTCTAACAATGGGGCGCCCGTGCCCAGCACCGGCTTGTGCAGGCAGGCCACTGACAAGAGGCCGTGATCAGGAGGAACGGGCGAGTGCTCACGAGCGACAGCCAGAACTTCGCTACCGTCCAGTTGGGCATGCAGTAGTGGCCTGTCAGTAGACCATCCTCGGCGCCGTGGTTGGCGAGGGATGCGTGTTGGGGCAATGCCAGCACTGCAGGTGCGGCCATCTGACTGCTCAAGAGTGTCCAGTGCGTGAACGTTGATCCGCCTTGCGGCCACGGCAGGATCGCCAGCAACAAGCAACCTTGGAATGCGTGCCGTTGGACCACAGAGTATCCCGTGCGGCCCCAGCCTGTGAGTGAGTGCGCAGTGTGCCTCGTCTCGAGCCTGCACCTCAGCCGCCCAAGCCAGTCTGGTGATCTGGCAGCGGGCTGCTCTCTCCCTCTCTCTCTCTGTCTCTCTGTCGCAGTTCTCAACAGTCGGCAACGAGGGCCTGGGCCAGTTAGTGGAGGAGGAGGAGGATGGTGCCTGAGGGAACGCGCGCGTGACGCCCCGGGTCCGGTCCTGCGCACTTGGCCCTCCTGAAAACCATTAGGAAGGGTCAGCCCAGCCAGTCTCCCCCGCACCGGTCTGGCCTCGCCAGCGGCGGGCTCGAGTGCAACTGAGTGCAACTGGCTGCAACGCAACCTCCAGATGACCTGTTTGTGCCAGCGCATACCCTCCATGACTGCGCCTTGTTGCACGCAGGGCAAAGCCCTCGCCCAAGCCCAGCACGCTCAGCCAGAGACCGCCAGGCTCGCTGCGGAATGCGCGGTTACCCTCATCAAGCCAGTGACCCAGCTCGCCAGATGTCCCGTGACTGACGGGCAGTACCCGTCGCCTGCGGCAAGTCACCCTGTTGCCACCATGTTGATGCGCTGTCAGTGTCCCATCTGTCCGAACCAGTTCATACCAGATCGCTGCCTGGCATGGCCAGCTCGGCGCGGACATTCATTTGTCTGGCAGGACATTGGCCCCTTGCCGACTGGGATAGGCCTGCCAAAGCTTCTTACCGCTGCTCTGCCACTGCGCATTTGCTGTGGTCATCATAATTGCCATCATGTGGTCAGCTAGAGCTACCTTCGCATCGCCTCAGTGGACAGGCTCGGCAAGACTCCGTCCTCGTTCTGGCCGTTTCGCCGAGCCCCCGCAACGGTTCGGTTCTACTGCGTACTGATCGCCTGCAGAGACAGTTACCATTGAACACTGGAGTGGTCCACCTTTGCAAGCATCCATGATCCAAAGCAGCGGCTCGTGCCCGTGTGTCACCGACTCCCCCAGGACGCCAGGGCGTGATAGATGAAGACACCTCTTCCAGTCTGCTCCTTGCAAGCTACGCTTCAGTCACTGCACCCCAGACTTTGTTCAGGTCAAAGCGACTCTCACACAGCCAGGCACGCGGGGAAGAGGTTCTAGCCAACTCTTGGGTTGCTGGGGGTGGGCGCTCCATGGTTGAGCCTCCGAGGTCGAGCCGTGCCCGGAAGCCAGGGTCCTGTCCCCCGGAAATGCAGGGCTCGCCTTGCGGGGAAGGCCTCATGACACGAAAAGGCGGCCCGTTCAGGCCGTTTCTTGCCACAGTCAGCACTTACGCCATCGTCTGTGCTTCAGAGCCAGCCCAGCATAGCGCTGGAGGAGCGCTTCCGCTGACCGGAGGGTACTACCGGCTCGGCCACTTGTGCAGCCGCAGTCATCGTCACGAGGCAGGAGCCATTCGCCAATCATGTCAAAGCTGTGCGGCAAATGCCAATTGACAACCGAGGGCGTTTGCTGGTCTCCCCACGTGCCGAGCAGACGAGACAAAGTCCCAATACGCGGACCAGCTGTCAGATGCGGCCCCCCCGATGGACGACTCCAAGCCGACGATGCACAGAAGTTGTGGCATCACTCAATCCGTGCCATAGGCAGTGATGTCTTCCAGCACAGCGGGTACCTTTTATTTGGAAATGTGAGACAATGCCGAGAGTGGCTGCTTGGCGCATACAACGTGATCATGCGGGCGCAGGACGCCCGGCGGGCTAATTTTTCCGTCCGCCTTTCCCAGCCAGCATGGGACATCAGCCACGTTAAGTGGTCCACCCACTGAGAGGACGCTCGAGTCCAACTGTAATGCCAGAGGAATGGTAGCGATGCCTCCTTCTCGGATGCATGCCGTCATCGTAGAGCTCTGACCACGAGTGAGTAAGCTGCGACTTCGTCTCAACACCCTCTTCGCGGTTCAGCAGTCGAGTCGGCCCCCAAGCTGAGAGACGTCAGCATGCAGACGCCGGCAAGGCCCGCAGCCGCCATCTCACTCCCGAACCCGCCCATCCACTTCCTGGCAGATGGTAAGCACCGTGAAAGCACATCGGCAATAGCTTATGGTTATATCTTAGGGTTACACGCTCCATTGAGAATGAGTAAGCTTCCGCACGACATCTAGGACACGCACTCGGCGATAGACGTCCGTCGAGGGGAATTTGGAAATATGATGATGGCAACACGCTCCAGCTTCCACATCGCGCAGAGGCTCACATGCCAGACTCGCACGTGCAATGAGCAACCTCGCCTGTTGTCAAACAGCCACAAGATGGTCTCATTTCAATAGTGGAAGCTTTGGGTGGTGTCATGGACACTGCAACAAGCGAGCCACCACGAATAGCTACAGAGCCGTTATCACAACCTTGGATTACATCTGAAGCAGCCACACAGGTTTGTGTGTCTCGTGCACCCCCACGACGTGTCGAGAGAGCTGAGCCAACAAGGAAAGAGAGCCGTTGTGTGTGGGTGATAACAACCAGAGCAGAAGCTGAAGCCTCATCCACGCGCACACCCAGTCAGCCTGCCATTTAACATCCTTCTGGAAGTCTATCCTCGCTTGGCAAGGCATTCGTTTATGCGCGCGCGGGGGGCTACCAGCGTTCGTTGCAGGGATTCCCGACATGCCCTGTAACAAATGGCACCTCGCCAAGGTGGGCAAACAGGCTGCCACTCCCCTAAGTGTTCGCGCGTCCGTCACCACACCACATCAAAGCTGCAACCCTCGTTATCAAGTTCCGTTTAGGGCAAGAGAACGTTGGAGAAGATTACAGACCCAAGCCCATGGGACAATCCGCTAGATGCAGAGATAAAAGACCACAGATCAGATGAGCACAAGTTGAAGGAATCAAATCCCTCGCCCTTGCCGACCATCGTTGAAATGGGCGAAGTTCAAAGACCCAAGCACACCGGTCAATTCCTCCAGACCAGGGGTACCAGGGGTGGTCCCCCCCCCCCCGCCATTGAAGATGGTCACAAGGCATGTCAGTCAACACCTGCCAAGCATGAAAGAGAAAAAGAATAAGCTCAGTGCATGCAGCTGCCACCTCTGACTTACACAAACACGTCAGACGTCATGTGTTCCTTTATTTTCGTAGATTATGCAACATGTTGTTCTCATGACAATTATGATAGAGCCGCCCATCGAGAGACGGCAGGCACTTCTGCCAATGTCATGGGCTCGACATGCGATGCACGTGTTCGACCTGTTCGTCTTCATTCATGCACGCTGAAATCCACGCATGATCTTTGAAAGAACTCTCTGGCGATTGGCACATCCCCCGGGACGTAAGCCAGCCATGATGCACAACCCGGAAGCTTCCAAGACACGTCGAGGCATACAGCGACTGCTGATTTTACCATTGTCCCCGTCGGTCCCAAATAAGATCGAGAAAAACGAAGTATTGCAAAGAACGTAGCGCTCGTGGGGGGTCACACGAAGTCCTGTCCCTAACCGAGTATAATCTGAAATATAGAAATATATGACGGTAGCATTGGCGGTGACGGCTGATGCCATCCAAAGGCCTTACTCCAACAACGACGAAACAAAAGCTGACTGGGCTTTGGTGTGACTTCTCCACGCGTGAAGATACCCCCACGGGAGGGACCCCCTTCTCACTGCTAGGCTGTGCTGCTGCCCACCCGAGCTTGTCAAAGTCAAATGGAGGATGAATAGTAGCAGGGGGTCGTGGCCCACGAGCCTTTCCCAAGACGGGAGCTCGGTGACTGGGGGGGGACAAGAGGCTTGGTGGAGCCCGCAGCCACAACTCCTCCTCCTTCTCTTCCCCCAATCCCCCAATCTCCATACTCTCTCTGGCAACCTTGCTGGGTGGATTGATAACTACGAGCCGCTGGTTGGTGCAAGAAAACGAACAACCCAAGCACGAGGGCGGTCCGGGCATGCTCATTCGCGCGCGCGCAAGGGTGTATGATATGGGTGTGTATTTTCCTTTGTCTCTCTCGCAACACACATCTCTCCTCCTCCTTTGACTGATACCGATTCCTGTTCGGTGTATCCGGAAGCAATTCCGCTTCCCTTTGATGATGATTATGCTTGGCGAAGGATGCTAGGTATGGGCACGGGCACGGGGGGTTGGGAAGCGGGAAGGATGGCTGCCTGCGTACCTAAGCTAGGCAAAGGAGTTGGGGGGATCTCGGCCGAGCTGGTTCCCTACGGCGCATTGTCCCGCGCCCGCCTTTTGATATCGTTCTTTTCCAGCTTGGGGAATACTGATGATGAGCAATTCCCATCTAATCTGCCCAGCTAATGCTTATCATCATCGTCGCCCGAACGCAATAAGATGAATTTATCGGGCGACGCTATTATATTATCTGCGCGGCGCAGCTTTTTCGGACGCTGCCCTTATTGTGTGTCTCAAGGCGCAGCAGCACCTTCCCTCCCCCTACCTGACTACCATTCATTCACTGCCCATGAATGAAATGGCATTTGCCAGAAAAAGAGCTCCCCGAGGTTGCCCGAGCTTCGCCTTTTGGGGGGAATCCGAGGCCGGGGGTGGACTCCACACAAGCTTATTCCATCGAAATACCGCATTCAGCACGTGCTGGGTAATCACGCACTAACAACCCAGCTTTGGAAGCTCCAACCCTTACCCTTTTCCTGGATCGAAGCGACAAAAAAAACTCCGCAGATCTCCGTAGGGTTGCACACGCGCGCGCCACAGCGAAACCTTGACCAAATGCCCGATTTTGTCTGGGATGGAAAACTTGTGGAGATAACTACTAGGACGATTGACACGGACGGAAGGGCAAAACATACCTAGCTACGCTGCGTACCTACTGACCCGCCGCGCTGGAGCAAGTTGTACATAGACAACAGCTGGCTTGGGCGTGGGCTTGGGCAACGAGTGCCAGAGCAAGTGACTGCGCAAAGTGCAGGGGGGAAGATGAACGATGAAACAGGCATGGTCTGTGTGATACTCGGCCCTTTCCTTAGGGCACCTGCCTAGCTTCTGTCTCTGTCTCTCTCTGTTGCTGCCCGACCCGAACGAGGAGAGCACACATTCCTATCCTGTCCAGTCCTGTTCCTCCCCATTCAGGATATCATGGCCCCGAACCGGGCGGGGGCTTCTGATAACCCCTGTCTTCTCGCCGAAGCACCACCGGTCTTCTGGAAGCTTTCTTTTCTTTTTCTTTTTTTCCTTCTCTCTCTGACTAGGCTGTCATTGTTCTCTCGCCCTTGCGCTCGGTCGTCGTTTCCCGTGTGATCGGCCCTGTTGTTATCTATCTGGACCAAACCTCTTTTGCCTCTAACCCCCTCCCTCCCCCCTACCCTCTTTGGATTTAATTAAATCGTCGGGACGGGATGGACGGACGGGACTATGATGGATCATCATCGAAGCAAGCCCCGGAAGACCGCCGGTCCCCTTTGCTTGCAGGCCCGTTTTCTTTTCGGGCATAAATCATTGCGCGCTCGTGCGCAGGCACGGTAATGCCGTGTGTGTCAGGCAGAGAGGGGCCCGGCGACGGCGGCGGCGGCGGCGCATGGACGCAAAGCCAGATGGGCGGGCGCGCAACACAGGAACGCGGTGTCCCCCCCCCGTGTGTGCGTGGTTAGCATGACAGGTCGTCGGCGTTCCTCCCCCACTCCAAGCGTCTAGTCATTTCCCCGTCACAGCACCATCAAGAGAGGATCGAATCATCTTCATGCTTACAACGCCGCCGGGATAAAAAAGAAAATGACAGGATACCGAATGACCGGCACCACCCGGCGCTGGGTGCTGGCCATTCAGGGCATGGGGGGGCGGGTCCGAACGGGACAGGCATATATATCAGCCCCAATGCCTTGCCGCCGGGGAATCTCAGGCAAAACACACACACACACAGCGGCGACCTATTTATCCCGTCATATGTCAGGGGGGGATGGGAACGGGCTGGCTCCATGACTTATGTAACAACGGTTTTGCGTAATGATTGACCTGTCCGCCTGACCCGATACCCTGGAGAGGGGAAGGGGAAGGAGGGGACCCAAGAGACGGGATCCCTGTCCGGGGAAGCAGGGGTGTAGGTGCCCCGGAGCCAGAGGCTTCATGAACTGACTGATGGAACCAGGGGTTCGGGTTTGGGCTGCGGCGGCGTGTGCACGTTACCTCGAGGTGTGTACTCACGCACGCTACCTTACTGCGTAAAGTCGGGTACGCTCACTTGGCTTCGCATTATTATTACTGCGTATGTCTTCAGGGCAGAAAGCGGGGCCAACGAGGCCAATTTCTTGGTTGAATTAGTGTCATTATGTTGACGGGCGTGCCTCAGATGGCATTTTTATCTACTGACTAGTCGCCCAGGGCCAATCAGCGGCGCCCGAGATGAAGGGGGGCCAGACGCACGCCCTTCTATTAGTGCCCTCGCTGCTGTTGTGCAACGGGTCAAAGAAGCTGCGGTACCAAAGTATCGGATTTGATGATGCGCGCAGGAGCGCCGTGCCTGAGTGTGCATCACCATATGCACGATGGACGCGGCCGGTCGTTTGATGCTGATTGATTTATTGCCTGAGATTTTCAAGGTTTTTATTTATTTATTTATTTGTGTATGTATCAATCTTTTGCCCAGGAGAAAAGCAGAAGATGGGTGTTGCGATGTTGGATGTGGGAGCACTTCCGAACAGGACGGGGCTGCCTGCCGGTACTCGGAACGCTCCGAGATTGCAGTGTGGTTGCATGTGAGGCAGGAGGTGTTGTTAGTTGCGGGCGCCGATCGAGGCGTCCCCAATAGAGGCGGGACTAGTTCCGTGTGTCAAGAAGTGTGGTTTGCGGGCCGCAAAAGCAGCATAGGTAGCTGGTTGGCCGGCTAGCCCGCGAGAAGAGCAGAAAAATAGGTTTGCAGTTGCCGCTCCGGCGACGTTTGACGAGCCGTGTCGCCATTGCGCGCAGTTGTTGTTGTCGTTGTTGGTTGGGGAATGATGCAACTGGGAACAGAGTTTGCGTCTCCGATTACTAAGTGGCATGCCTCTGCAGCGGTTCTGTTCCCCGGCTGGCCTCACGACGATGTGGCAGCATGCAATGTGACTGTGCCGGGAGGTGCAGCAGCAGACGGATGCAAGATGATGCTCGCTTTACGGGTCCGGACTGCAGCACGGCCCTGCAATGGTGGGCGCATCTTGCTTGCTTGCTTGCTCTTGCTCTTGCTCTTGCTCTTGCTCTTGATGCTGATGCTGATGCTGATGCTGATGATGCTGACGATGATGCTGTTGATGATGATGCTGTCCTGTGTACGCGATGGTGAAAACCCGCATGCCCCTCTGGCTTTCTCCCTTCTCAGGGTGCCGATCTCGAGTTGGAGAAACGGGGAGGGGATCGGACCCATGCATGAATGACTGACTGAGGGCGGCCGGCAAGTGAGAGTGAGGCCCTGCAAGTCGCGTGGCTGGGCTGCATCACGACTCCCCCGCACGCCCGGCTGTGGTACCCAATGGGCGGCCGGCGGAAGGGCGAGCCGGCGCACGCAGGGATGGACTGATGATGTATGGATGGATGGATGGGATCCATCCGTGCCATCATATCATGGCATGGCCTGGCCTGGCCTGGCCTGGCCCGGGTTCGTTTGGTTCCTGGGTGCGTGCGTGCATGGATTGTCCCAAGAACTCGGGACGGCTGCCGCTGCTCTCCCTTGGCTTGTGCCCCTCCGATGGCGTGTCGCTAGCTGCACAACAACCGCACCGCACCACTCGTGTCCCGTGTGCCATTGCCGATGGGTGACAGGGCCACCCGCTGACCCGACTCCCTCATCACCATGACTTGTTACTTGCTCGCCAGCCTCGACGGCACGGGCCCTGCCTGCACTACGGCGACCAGCCTCTCGGTTCCCGCAATGTGCTGCACAGAGGATCCCTGGCCGACCACGACCACGACCACGACTCCTCTCTCCCTTGCGGACACGGCCAAGTCGGGCAGCAACCTAGAGACCAGTGCGCAAGCGACTGGCAATAATTACAATGGCACCTAGTCCCGTCCTGTCCTGTCCCGAGGCAACGTCGTTTGGCTCCCTGCCCCATCGAGCGCCTCCTCCGCTGCCATGTCTCTCTTGCTTCACGTGCCTGCTCCGGTCCGGTGGAGAGGAACCACGTCCCTGGGATGGAGATGATGGCGCGCCTCCTTGAATCCGAGAGCCGCGGCATGGCTGGGGGATGGCATGGCACCATGCGCATTCCCAAACGACGGCGCTCGGCCGCAGAGTGGCCTGACGGCCCCATTCGCGAATCGCTGTCCATTGCGGCGGTCATGATTACTTTCCATCGGCGCTCCGAGACAGAGAGAGAGAGAGAGCGAGAGAGAAAAGAAAAGAAAAGAAGAAAATTTAAGAAAAATCTAAACCAGCAGTGACGACGCCCCAAGGCGTTTTCCTGCATGAGCCCAAGCACCTTCTGCTGCGCAATGGGACGAACGCAACCTTTGAGGCGCCCTCACGCATGCGCCCTGCCTGCACGACAACAGCCGAGAGATACATTAACGGCTCGATTGCATGCTGCCTGCTGTGCGTGTGCCTCAAATCAACAAACCCCCCCACTGGGGCAAGCCAATTGGTAGAGT